GCGTATGCGACCGTTTCGACGGGAGGTTTTCTGCTGTGCTTCGAGAACTCGATGAGAGCAATCGATTCGTCCAAAAATCAGCCGAATCGACTTCGATGTGGCCGAGCTAGAGAATTCTCAAGTTTGGTCAGGACCCCCCAAACCAGCGGTTGATTTCCACACAGGCCTGCTGCTCGCGTACAAGGTCCGGCGCCCGGCGAGCTTCTTCCTGCTCCGGGGCAACCACGAGTGCGCGTCCCTGAACCGCATCTACGGCTTCTTCGACGAGTGCAAGCGGCGCTACTCCGTCAAGCTCTGGCGCGTCTTCGGCGACTGCTTCAACTGCATGCCCGTCGCGGCGGTCGTCGGCGACCGGATTCTGTGCATGCACGGCGGCCTGAGCCCCGAGCTCGAGTCGCTGGACCAGATCCGGGCGCTGGCGCGGCCCACGGAGGTGCCCGAGGACGGGCTGCTCTGCGACCTGCTCTGGTCCGACCCGGAGCCGCGCGTCACGGGCTGGGGCTACAACGGCCGCGGCGTGTCCTACACGTTCGGGCCCGACGTCGTCGACGAGTTCCTCGAGCGCCAGGGCCTCGAGCTGATCTGCCGCGCGCACCAGGTCGTCGAGGACGGCTACGAGTTCGCCTGCGGCCGCAAGCTCGTGACCATCTTCTCCGCGCCCAACTACTGCGGCGAGTTCGACAACGCGGGCGGCATGCTCGTCGTCGGCGCGGACCTCCGCTGCTCCTTCAAGATCCTCCGCCCCGTGCGCCCGCCGCCGGCGGACGACGCGCCGACGGACAGCGACCTCAGCGACGACGACGACGCGCCGGACGTCGACGAGGACGCGCTCGCGCGCCTCGCGACGCCCGCGCGCGCGGCCGCCGCCGCGGAGCTCGAGCGCCGCAAGGCCGCCTTCGCGAACCGCGACTCGCCGTCGAGCGCCGGCCGGACGCCGCCGACCTTCGAATTCGCCCACGGCGGCGACGAGCCCCCCGAGCCCGGCGGCGCCATCGTCCTCGACGCCACCGCGGACGGCGCCGCGGGCGACGCGGCCTAACACCTCCGGCGCGTTCCTACTAGCCTAGCCCGGGACGCGGCCTAACACCTCCGGCGCGTTCCTAGTAGCCTCGCGGGCTCGGGGGCCCACAGCGCCCACTAAAGCGGCACTGCGCCGCACCGATCAGCGAGCGCAGGAGCACACCCTGTCCCACCTCTTCTCATGAGTCGCCGCGCCCCCTCCGCCTCACGCCTCGTCTGCTGGTGCGTCCTCGGCGCGTTGTTAATGGCCTGGGCGGCCATCGGCCTCATCACGCTCGGCATCGCCCACACGGAGCGCGTCGTCGGAAGGTATATAGGCGTTGAAGAGCAAGTCATCGCTCACGGAATCATCGTTGGCGAGGTCAAAAACGCGCTCGGACTGAGCGCGCCGCAGATGCCCGAGGAGCATGCAGCCGACGGCTTCGAGAACGACGACGCGGCGCGCGCGGACGCCGCCCGCGCCGACTCGTCGGCCGCGATTCGCGGGTTCGGGTGCGGGCTCGAGACGGTGGGTCAACTTCCCAATAAGCGAGGCAGACCCGTCGTTAATCGGGAAAAGTGCATTTACGGTCGCTACGACGCCGGGGGCGCCTAGTCTTACCCCGGGGACGCAGGGCCGAAGCCGGAGGCGTCGACGGACGCCATTTGCGCCGTCGGCCCCGGCCCCGGCCGGTCGGCCGGCCGGCCGGCCGGTCGTCGTCGTCGTCGTCGTCGTCGTCGTCGTCGTCGCGCGCGCGCGTGGAGATTATAGCGGAGACCAAGTCCATGGCGTCCTCGAACATGTTCTAGACCACCTCCATGAAGCCGCGCAGCGCCCAGGCACCGGTTTTGGTCTCGAGCGCCTCCTTGCCGCGCGAAGCGCGGGAGGAAAAATTCGGCGGGATCCAGTGCGCGTAGCGGTCCAGAACCGGCGCAGCTGCACGTGCCGCTCGCGCGCGGCGTGCAGGAGGTCGCGCCCTCGCCGGAGAACGAGCCTGCTCCGCGCAGCCGCCGCTGCCGCCGCCCGAGAGGCCGCTGCCACAGAGTCGCCGCACCCGCCCCGCGCGCCGCGCGGGAGAAAATTTCGACTTCGTCGCTGGCCAG